ACAGAATAATTTTTTTGATAGCAATAATTAATTAATTAATATATATGCACCACATTGTTTATATAAATAAATATTACATATGTTTGTGCAATTATGTTTAACATTGGTTATTTTATTATTCACTTAATGTATATATGTGTTGCACGGATTATAGTTGAGTAATTGCCGTATAGTATTTACGTATAATATTCCAGATCAACGCATGTAAATATTGTACGTGCTAATGGCTGTAGGAAACTGTTATTTCACCAGTTACAATATATATTGTCATTAAATCACAGAGGATTCGAAAATATACAAGAATCTATTATTAGTGTCCTTCGGGATATCATCAACTGAACATCTAAATTGAATTTGTGTACAGAATTGTTGTGTACAGAATTATTATATTCGCTCAAATATCCAGCATTATTTCTAAGTGAATATAACGATTAAAGTTAGTATAAATTATCAATTGCATAAGTATATTATATCCGATATAACTAAACGTCTGCGTTTAGTTAGAAAATCATACACAGAATATAATTATAATCAATTTTTTAAACCGAACATCTGCCATGTCTGTAAGAAGTCAAGTAGCCAAGACGAATTAATCACATGTGATTCGTACGGCATGGTCTTTTATTGTGGCAATGAGCAGCAAATGATACATAAAAGTTCGCATGTCTGTGTCATTATGGCAAACGCATGTCTGGAAGTCTGTGTCATTATGGCAAACGCAAGAATAGAAGATTGGGACGAGAGCACGTCGTTTTAACTCAGATGAAGAATAGAGGTCGTCTCGAGAGATATTTATGCAAGGAATTCAAATGAAAATATCACGTGATCTAAAGTCATACGAGATAGAGATGATGATGTGCGCAAAATTATGCCTCATTTGTTACCTACAGAGTAACCTACGAACCTGCAACATCTGCTATTCCGCCAATTATTGTGACAAACACTATTTAAAATTTCAAGAAAAACACAAATCTATGTGCACAGACTTACTGGTATTGTTGAACTTGAATATTTCAATTATCAACAACACTAACATAAAGTCATATCCACAAAAAATGACGTTTTCCATAATGAAAATAGGTTTTGATAACATGTTTACATTTGCTAATATATACATTAAAAAATATAGAAAACGAAATTTAGAAACTTGGTCTGAGATGTCTTACATCTATTCGGAATATGTCAGCTTCATTGACACTGTATGACGAGTTAATGCAATTCGAACATTTACTTGATGTAACAGAAATTTATAAAATAGAAATAGGTTTACTAAACACCAAAATATCTCTTTATCGTACATATCATAGGTGTGAGTTCAGTAGATATAACGGGTTTACCATCGTGGGAGCTTTTCATGCATTCTTGCAGTAAATATAGAAATTTTAGAATTGTAATTAAGGAATTAAGAGTTATATTGATAGGACCAGAAACAGATTGTGAGTGGAATGGATACTACAATGTTTGTTGAATATGCCGCAATTCAAATAAACAGCTTTATTTTGAAAATGCTTGTGTGTCATATGAGAATTGTATGCGCACAAATTTGTATAAGCAAGCAAATATCATTATTGCATCTCAAGCAGAGTTTAATGTGGAGAGTGCCCTGTTAGATATTTTCGTCGCAATAAGAGATCGTAAATGTCCGTTTTTTTTCACCACATCATTACAAAATAAAGCAGAAGAATTCATAAATAAGATAAAAGGAGTTATGAGTATCCCTCAAGAACAGGTATTACATAAGAAATAAATTCCGTAGTTTCAGGCCGTACAGAAACTACGAGACTGGAGGAATTTATTATCGTAATGTTCATTTAGTTGAATTCTTATAAAGTTAAATAATACAAGCGAGACAACAAGAAATTTGGTTAATTTATAACAGCGTTCTGAATTTGGGAAAGTTTCAGAGGCTACATTTACTTATTATAATTCATTTTTCCACTCCAACTCGCCGGCATGGCTGCGGGATTAATAATTATATCACTCAGACATAGCGCCGTTTGTATGGAGTTCAAGTTATTTAGGTAAAATATTGTTCAGTTATTAATAAACGCCACGGGTATTACAATGTCAGAGGTCCTAAGGCTTGGCTTTTTAAACGAGTTGAAACGTTGAGAAGCACCTAAGTCGAACAGGAATTCAAGATTCAATTATTTTCTCGTTATTTTTATTTTTATCGTGCTTTTATACCGTTCTTGAATATGATTGTATTCGCAACTTACTTATGAATGCATCTGCAATTTTCTAACATAATTCTTTATTACATTTAAATTTGAGATAATTTGCGAATAAATAATCACTTCGTTGATAAAGTATACATTTATTCTCAAATATTAGGTGTACAATTTTGCTTCCGCCGTTTTCCTATAGATAGCTTTAGCGGTAAGTGGTGGTCGGAATAAATAGGTCATAGACGTCATACAATAAACTTGGGCATCTGTCAACATAACCCCATAGAAACATTAGTCGATTCGTGTCTGCATCATAAAGTTATTCTCGATTGAAAATGTCAGTTCCAAATGTCGAGCCAAATTCTCGTCATTTGCGGGTGGTTTTAATTTTCTGCTTCAATATGGAGAAAACTGCAGCTGAGGCTCATCGAATGCTCCCAAATACTAATGGTGAGGCCGCTAGTAGTGTAAGAACGTGTCGTGAGTGGTTTCAACGCTTCAAGAACGGTGATATTGACGTCGAAGATCGGCATAGCGGTGAAGAGAGAAGGTTTTCGAAGATGCAGAATTGGAGGCATTATTTGATCAAGATTCGTGTCAAAATCAATAAGAATTGGCACGATCATTGGGAGTGACTCAACAAGCTATTTCAAAAGCCTCAAAGCCATGGGAATGATTCAGAAGCAAGGAAATTGGATGCCGTAC